GCGAAGTACCTCGCGCATGGATTCCTCGTCTCCTCTCTCTCGCATCGATACACTAGTATCAGATATGCCGTTGGAGAAAGACAGTAATACCGACATCGTTCTACGCGACAGACTGAGTGCGCTGCCCGATGAGCTGCTGCTCCACATCTTCGAGGCGGTTGGTTGCCTCTCCAGACGCGACCTCTGCAACGTATCGCGCGTCAACAAACGATGCCACCGCCTCAGTGACGCCGTCTTATATAAGAGCATTCTGTTCGAAACTCCAGAGCTGCACCTCACATTCAGCGAGTCATTAAGCCGTCGCCCGCGCCGTGGCTCAGCCATCCATGAAATCAAGCTGGCTTATCCGTCTTCAGAGCTGTCGCAGCTGGCGCTCGATGCACCTGTCGCCGGTTCATACCTGGATCCCAAGCGATCAGATAGCCTCTCACGGACGCTATCGATCATGTCAAATTTGGAGAAGCTCGACATTTCCGTCCCAGACGTGCTCCTACACGGTATCGGTACCTTGTTCAACGGACCCTTCGATCTCGCATGCTTGAAGTCCTGCTCACTATTCTACCAATGCGCTAATGATGCTTACTGGGACCTCCGCGAGAACATACATATCTTCGCCCATCCTACGCTGGAAACCTTGACGATCCGCAGAGCTAAGCTAGACGAGAAGGGCTTCGATCACATCGAGCGGCCGCACATGACAGCGCTCAAACAACTTCACTTGATCGAATGCGATATTAACGACGACTCGCTTGGGGATCTCCTCGAATTGCCCGAGGCGCTGGAGGAGTTTGTCATGACGCAAACAGAAGAACCGGAGCCAGAACTGGAAGAAAGCTCTGATAACGTTGGGGACTATATCCTGGCTGCTCAGTCGCAAGCGGAGTTCTTGAAGAGCATAACGATCGATCACCCAACACTTACCGGGCGCAAGGTGCTACGTATGCGCGAGTTCGCAGCGCTCAAGACATTGCGCCTGAACTGGGATTACCAGCTGTTTGGAAAGTCATCTAAGAAACCGCGTCTCCATTCCGTTGGTCTCCCGCCTGTTATGGACACACTCGAGTTTTTCAATGAACTAGGAAGCGACGCCGAGGTCACAGACCTTCTACTGGCTACCATCGAGCAGAAGGATATCGTTGCTAGGAATTGGAAAACTTTGGTTGTGGTTGAGGGCGAAGACGGAGTATCGAGGGGAATCAAGAACGCGTGCAAGACAGCCGGGCTACAGTTGGACATCATTGGGGCTATGGACGAGGATACCGAATCAGAAAATGAATCAGAGAACGAATCAGGAAACGAATCAGAAAATGAATCGGAAAGCGGATCGCAAGGCAAATTCTGGGCAAAACCAGATGCCAGGACCCAGATATCGGAAAGCGAATCGGAGAGCGAATCGGAGGGCGAGGCAGGCTATAGGGTGCAGAGGGACATTGAGTCAGATAACGATGAGAGCATTTCAGGTCCTCGTCGTTTTATGTGAAGGGCAACACTTGCTCGTCTAGCGGAGCTTACATAACGTGTTGCGAACCTGATTAGACTACACTGGCGACGTCTTAGAGCTTGGAAATGCATATAGACTTGGCTTCATGCGCCATATTATACCAGCCCATTACTGCAATACCAGCGTGTACCTCCCTTTCATAACGATCTTCACTCTCCGGCCATTACCCGGATTTCTACTCGCCTTCCCAAGCGCTCCCCTTTTCTTCGAGCGCCTCTTGGCTTGCCTTTTGTCCTCCGCGTTATCTTCATCAACCTGGTTCCTTCGTCGTCTGCTATCTCTCCAGCCCTCTACGTACAGCCAGATCTGTCGTAATACACAAATGAACACCATTACGATATGTTCCGCTTTAAGCTTGACATGTGCGGCGGGGATGTAGGAGATGTTTGGCCGAGGAATAGAGCCGAGTAGGGTTACTGGTAGAGATGCTATGCGCGCGAGCGCGGTAGTGGTGCTGTTCATCATTGTGCGGGTTCGGCGGGTTGCGGCATACGGTGGGTATAGCAGGAGTAGATTTGGGTTTGGCGTAGTATATGTGTAGTCGTCAACACGTCTCAGAAATTTACACAGTTCCGCATCATAGCAAGGCGTGGAGGTATTCAATGCATCTTCAAGTATCCACGTACATCCAGTAAGGCTTTGAAGCACGCCAGGGCTATCTATGTCACATTCCTCCATAGCTCGTGATAACAGCCAGGCGAACTCAATCACTCAACAACACTTCAACCGTGGAAGCCCATCATACCTCCTCGTCCCCGCGCTCCACCACCACGACCTCGACCACGACCTCGACCACCGCGGTAGCCGCCACGTCCATGACCTCGGCCTTGACCTTGTGGAGCAGGCCGGTAGCTATTGACCCTGTTCCGCATCTTGCGGATGCTGTAATTGACGTCCTCAAGCCGAATCACAAAGTCACCCGCCATGACCACCGAAGCAGGAATATCTTCAAGCACATCATTAGCACCGCAATCCTCTTTCAAGTTTCGAAGCCATCTTACCCGCATCCTCGGTATTGCCAGGAACTTCATTCCGCTCTTTCATGTGCTTGATAACGAACGCGATGGCCTCCAATTTGAAACCAGTGCGTGTCATATCCGCCAGACGGCTGAGCGCGGAGATGAGTGCTAGACCCCAGTTGTGGCAGTCTGGATCGGGGAGGTACTGGACTGGGAACGGGGTAGCCATGGAGCGGAATTCCCAAGCGGCACCCGCGGACGCCAGAAGGCGGGTGATTGTGGCCTTGGTGTCTGGGGGGAGGGTGGTGAAGTCGTGGAATGTGGGGCTGTTGTCGATGAAGTAGTCCTCGGCTTCGTCCTCGGCTTCGTCATCCGCTGCGTTGGTGTGGTCTTCGGGGTCGGCCATCTGAGCGTCCTCCATCGCGTTTTCGGTCTCGTTGGCGGATATGGTGTTGCCGGTGATGGGGTCCACGGTGATGGGTACAGGGGCGTTGCTGGCGTCGATGAGATCCATGGTGACGGTCCTTGAGGTGTTGATGTGTCTTGGGTAGTACAATTGATTGATACGAGCTTAATTGTTATCAAGATAGCTTGTATCGATTGTCAAGCGGGGGTGTAGGATTGATCGAGGTACAGTAGTCGTGGACGATATATATATATATAGACTGGCAAGGCGCTAATCAAGAAGTCGCAGTGAAGGAGCCTTGATGGTGTGTATTAAGACTAGGGATACGCGAATCGCAAAGCCGTGGTGACGGACTCGCTCACTGCGAAAGCGAGACAGAGTTGTAGTCTCCCCATTGTTACTCCTATTATGGAGAGAATATTCGCTCGTCAAGCTCATGTGGATAGCTCTGTCGTTATAGCTGCCTGGAATCTGTCGTTTGCCCTTGAATCATTCCGGTGGTCGTTATTACGTTATAAGGTCTCCTGACGTCTTCATTTGAACAATGCTTGCATGCGCGCAAACGCTGTCTTTTTTTCTTGTTGCGGTTCTTCCATCGCAAAACCTCCAGCTCCATTGTTTCCGTGATTATTCACGATCGCGTTCGCGGGTAGTTCGATAGGATCGCTATTGTCAACGGTTGGCTATGGGAAATCAGCTTCTCTATCCCCAACGCAATGCTTCGCTTCAATAATGGCACTCACTGCTGCCATATACCCATCAATCTGCTGCGGCTGAGCAGATTCAGGTCTCCCTTCTCCTTGCAACTCCTGCGGTCCATTGTGTTTGCACTGGTCTCCATGCAGCTCCGTCGGTACATGCGCTTGTCCTGCATACGGTGGTAGCACGCTTCCGTTGCTTGGGGCGCCCGGTGGTGCAGTATACTGAACCCCGACATACGGCGCGTTCTGTTCCTGCATCCTGCGCATAGCCCTTTCGCGCCTCCGCTGTTTACTACAAATCTTCATAAAAACGACTGTGCAGAAGATGCCTGTAACAAACATAATAACAAGAATTATGACCGCTACAGTGCCTTGCAGCGAAAGATTGGTGTTGCGACGTTGGATGGGCGCCATGATGTCTGATTGTTATTCGGGATTGGAGATGCGGTTTTCGAGTATGAGGGACGCGAGGGGATCAAACTCGCGAAATGTCATTACGCCCGGGAGGCCTTAGGTGTACTTAAACCCATAGCAAGGATGCAACAGGTCGCCTGAAACTCATGCACGCCTAGGCACAAATCTCGTGCACCGCCATGGACGTGATGGCGGCGCAGCGCTGTTGGGGGCCAAAACGGGTACGCGAGGCTGATCACTCGATGCTGCCAAGTCAAATTCTCCGAGACCGGCAGTTACGGCATATCTCTATCCAGAAAGACGGGGCTTGATATTGAAGGATACGAGAAGACGGTAGATCGAATGAGGTCTTACACTTGGTGATAGTACTGAAAAGTGTCCTGCTGTAGAGCCAGTCCTTGTTCTTGTGTAGCATGTATGACGTTGTTCAGGCCGAACACCGCCTCCTCCTGATGGCCCTCTAAACCGCTCTCTAGAACCGCTCAGAGAAGACGAAAGAGAATGTCCAGCTTGATGCTTATCTATCGGATCTTGAGGTTGTCGAGAGCTTGGTAGGGCTCCCGCGCTTGAGCCTTGTGGCGCTTGCATTAGCGTCGATTCAGTCGGTAGATGACGCGCATTTGGATCCAAGACGAGATGACGTGTGACATCTGACCAGCGCGAAGAATTCAGTGAGCTTGGGAATCGAACATTGCAAACTCTGGATCTCTTCTGTCGAACGATATTCGCTATGCTGCAGCAAGGGTGAGGTGTGTCTTGATCGCCAAGCTCGGCTGTGTCTCCCCTCGACCCATGGTTTTCGCGACTACGCGCCGACTCTGCCACAACACCCCACGCACTTCTGCCTGTGCGCCCGCCTATCCTACAATCAACCTACCACACCACGCCGTGTCATCTCAAACGCACACGTCTCTAATAGGAGATAATCGTGCGACACACTACAACAGTCTCGACATACAGTCTGAGTATGCACTCGCCGCATAGACACATACGAAGACGTCAATACTACAAGAATCAAAATGGATGAAGACCTCCGTCTCCTCGAGGTATGCAACGGCGCGAGAGTAGACATTTGTGCGACGTCGCTAACGGGAATGCGACTTGCAGCAGGAATACTGCCCCACGATAGACCCCACTCTTCTTTACACGATATACTCGGATTTCGCAGGAGAACCGAACGCAATCGATCTTACTAGACAACTACTCGAACCCCTGAAGTTGACGGCCGACGCCGAAGCCCTCGATTTTGACCCCTCTGGCAGCAGCGGAGGCGCAGTTCAAGGCAGCCCAGACAAACACAGTACCGATGTCGACTCCAATGCTGATTCGTGGACGACGCAAACGGTAGCGACGGACCACTCGACGCTCTCGAACGAGTTCTCTACACTCAGTGTCAACGGACGGTCGGGGGGCTCAGAAGGGTCCCTGGAGGATGGGTACTACAAGGACATTGAGCAGTCGGACGTCTCCACAAAAGAGCTGTTGCTTGCCGAAACTTTCCCAGGTCTGCGGCTCGCGCAAGTCACGTACACGCTGAAGAAGTGCGGATACGATTATGATAAAGCGACGGATGAACTGTTGAACCAAGTCTTCTTCGATGACAGTAGGAAAAGCCCTACTGGAGAAGGGCCAGTCGCGAAGGGTATTGATGCATTCTCAGAAGACCATCTCGTACCGCAAAAGGGCAAGAAAGCTAAGAGCAAGAAGAAGCAGAGACTTTCCTTGGAGGCGGGTACTAGCTACCTCGTCGAATCGGATGCGCCAACCAATCGCTGGCAAAACACGAGTCGAGATGTAGACTTTATAACGTCGCGTACAGGCCTTCCAGCGAAGACGGTGTCGTCGCTTTACCACGCGAATGGAACGTCCGTTTCGGCGACTGTGCTGGCCATTGTAAAGAAAGATATCGCAGCGCACAAGAAAGAGGGTGAACCAGATGCTGCACTGGTACAGGATGCGATCACACTAAATGAGGGCTTTCCATCTATGGATCTGGAGCACGCCCTTGCCATAGTGCGACTTACTGCTCCTTCGACGATAAAAGCCCAGGAGTTAGCGAAATCCCTTACCCAACAACCTGCTAGCGAGACAGGTGGAAAGGGTGGTATCAAGCTCGACTTACGGTATGCTCCTGTCGATCTATCTGACCCTTCCGAAGCTACGAGACTCCCTACTTTGACTCCTTCTGTTCGACCGCGCGACGCAATGTCCACAGCTGCTGCACGAAACGACGCATTCGGGAAAGCATCAGGTGCCTACCGCAAGGGCAAGTCGACGCCACTCATGAGGCAAGCAGCCGCGTACTATGCACAAGAAGGTCGCGACCTCAACGCCAATCTGAAAGCGATGAACGCAGCCGAAGCCGACGCATTCGTTTCCACGCAATCTGGTCCAACATACCTCGATCTCCATGGCGTTACTGTCGCCGACGCAACGAGAATCGCCAAACAACGAACACAAGCTTGGTGGAACGGTCTGGGCGAGCGCAGAGTACCCGAGTGGAGCGGTGCTGGTCGCAGAGGTGGTGGCGAGGCATACAGGATCATCACAGGTTTGGGCCGACACAGCGAGGGCGGAAGGGGAAAGCTGGGACCTGCAGTCTTGAAGACGTTAGTCAACGAAGGATGGAAAGTAGAAGCAGAGCCTGGTGAGCTGTATGTCACAGGGCTGGCAAGGAGGAGATAGTGAGCTTCGATGTTTAGGCAAGATCTTGGGGTATATCAGGGATGTATGGCGCACAGGATGTTGGAGCATGTACAGCGACAGTGCCATTATGGAACGTATCACAGAGAAGAGATGCGATTGGATATCATCAAACACGGATCCAAGACATCCTGCCCTAAGTGTTCGCTCTTTCCGTCTTTCAGAGCCAAGGCTAGCGGCGCGCTAAGGTTTTAAGCTTCTCTGGACCCCACCCACCATCCATGGCCCCCATCTTAATCACTCACCCTCAATCCAGGTTCACTCACGAAACCTCCGGGACCTGTCAAAGGCGCTCTCGTACATCCACTGTTCCAGTCGTAAGGCTGCACTCACGATCTGCCTTAGTTTCGAAACCAAAACACGCGTACTTAGCCGACACTTAACGCGCCAAGCTGTCGTTTCACGGGTGCTGCGACGGAACCAGCGACACCATCACTCGGAAGACGCGTCGACGATTGACAAAGAATAGAAATCTGGATATCATATGCTGTCACGTCTATTACGGCTCACTGACAGCGCGAGGAAGGCATCGCGATATGATTTGAATTAGGAATTTACAAGGTCAAGCGCTTCCCCAGCGATTGCACGCGACGCCAAGGTACACTTCGTGCCTAAGCTACGAGTCGTCCACCGAACAAGCAATTATGTTTTGCGTATAGCATGCGGAACCAGCTACACGACCAGTGTTTCGCCTCCGCCCGTTGCAGTACCAAACGACACATGCCCGCGCAACAGCACAACAGCCTAAAGGCATGTGCGTCTTCGCGCACGCTATGCTACAGCGTAGCTACCATGACGATCGACAAAACGTTCGAAGAAAAGGCTAGAACGCATGCACCGTTTGATACGGGACATGCTCCACCCCATCGGGCCGTTCCCCATGGAGGGCATGATATATAGAGAAGGTCTTTCCATGCAGTATTACTATTCATCAGTTCGATACTCATCCAGCTTACTCAGTCTTCTTCTCTACTTCTATTCAATCATTCTTCCTTGTATATATCGCTGCTAGTCGGCTTTTATCTTTACACGTTCTCTACTTACATCACTGCCGGGCAGCTGATCTTTAATCCTCCTACACATCCTTTCTATCCGCCAACATGAAGTTCGACTCCTCCATCCTTATCGCCTCCTTGGCGGCGACCGCTGTTGCGGCTCCGGCTCAGGAACCTTGCGATCACACTGCTATGGCTAAGCGATGGGTTGACACTACTGGTGGCCAGAGGATGCCTGCACACTACGTCGCTACTGTCCGCAAGCTCTCTTCCGAGAAGGTTAAGAACAAGCGTACACTTGACGCGCTCCTCGGTGGCCTTGGCGGTGGAGCGGCAGGTGCAGGTGCCGGAGCAGGAGGCCTTGGTGCCCTTGGTGGACTCGGTGCTCTGGGAGGTGGTGCCGGTGGTGCTGGAGGCCTGAGTGCTTTGGCTGGTGGTGCTGGAGGTCTCGGCGCTCTCACTGGTGCTGGAGCTGGTGGCGCAGGAGCTGGAGCTGGAGCCGGCGGTCTCGGTGCCCTTGGTGGACTTGGTGCTCTAGGAGGTGGTGCAGGTGGCGCAGGAGGTGCAGGAGGTCTCGCTGCCCTTTTCCCTGGTCTCGCCAAGCGTCAACTTGATCAGCTCCTCGCTGGTTTGACTGGCGGTGCAGGTGGCGCAGGCGGCGCAAAGGGTGCGGCGGGTGCCGCTGGCGGTGCTGGTGGTATCGGCGACCTTCTCAGCGGTCTCGGTATCGGTGGTGGAGCTGCTGGCGGAAAGGCGGGCGGTGCCGCTGCTACTACCCCCAAGGCACCTGCGACTAGTGCTGCCGCCAGCGCTGCGAAGGGCCAGAAGGGTGCCGGAGCTGCTGGTGCTGCTGGTGCTGCTGGTGCTGGTACTCTTACCGTAAGTACTCTCTCGTCTTGGACTACATTCCCGAAGCTGACTTAATCCAGGGCGCTGCAAACAACGGCACTGCTGCGGCAGGAGGCGCTACCGCCGCTGGTACTGGCAAGGCTGGCAAGGGAGCTGGCAACTTGAACGGAGCTGCTGGTGCCGGAGCAAATGCCAACGGTGCCACTGGCACTGGAGCTACTGCCAACGGAGCCACTGGAACTGGAGCTACTGGTACTGGAGCGACTGGTACTGGAGCGACTGGTACTGGCGCTAGCAAAGGAGCTGGTAATGGAGCAGCTGGTGCTGGAGCCACTGCCAACGGCGCTACTGGTACTGGAGCAACTGGTGCTGGAGCTGGCAGGGGACAAGGCAATGGAGCTGCCAACGGTCAACAGGGAGCCGGTAAGTGATATCAAGCAACAAGGTTCCAATTGTAGACACTGACATACATCAGGCGCAGGCCGTGGTCAACAAGGTGCCGGAGCCGCCACTCCCCCAACTCCTCCTACCGCTGGTGGCGCGGGTACTGGAGCAGCTGGAGCTACTCCCCCCACTCCTCCCACTGCCGGTGGTGCCGCCCCTGGTCCTAACGGAGCGACTCCTCCCGCACCTCTCACTTCTGGTGGCATTGCCGCTCCCCCTGCTCCCCCTGCCAATGGAGCCACTCCTCCTACTCCTCCCACTGCTGGCGGCGCGGGAACCGGAGCAACTCCTCCTACTCCCCCTACCGCTGGTGGCGCAGGCATCGGAGCTACTCCTCCCACTCCTCCCACTGCCGGTGGCGCTGCTCCCGCTGCCGGTGCCAACGGTCCTCTTGCCGGTGGAAACAGCCCCACTGCTGGTGGCGCCGCAGGAGCTGGCCTTACCGGAACTGGAGCTACAGGTGCCGGTGCCGCAGGCTCAGCCGGTTCAGCTACCGGAGCTGGTGCAGCAACTGGAAACGGTGCCTCTGGCGCTCTTACTGGCGCTACTGGTGCTACTGGTGCTACTGGTTCTTCCGGCTCTACCGGTGCTTCTACCGGTGCGTCTGGATCTACTAGCACATCTGGCACCAAGGGCACAGGTGCAAACAGCGCTTCTAACGGCGCCTCCGCCGCATCTGCATCTGGCAACGGAAAGGCCTCAGGTGGCAAGGGCGCTTCGTCTGGCAACGCCGACTCTGCTCTCGCTGACTCTCAGGAGGAGGACTAGATCGCTCCAGCGACTATCTAGCACATGCAAGAAAGCAATGGTGTAGGGATGAATGAATAAGTAGATGGTTTGTCGGTATGGCAAGCCTGGACTGGATGTGTAATGATAGGGACGAGATTGAATTTGGATTTAGATGTGGACATGACTGGGATTAGGACTTGGAGACTCACGATCATTTATCGGATAATAAAATTTATTTCACGCGAACGTATGTGTTCTTAGCGGATGATTTGATAGCAATCTTTGATCATCGTTTTAGTCTTTCGATGGTGATCAAGACGGTGAGCAGTTAACGTTGAGGTCTTTTGCCTTCTCACTTACTCTAGACATCTGCTGCCTTCGAAGTGCGAGATTCCACAGCCCATAGTAAGTAGAGCGGACAATTGGCAGACTTTGTTACCAGCACTAGGACAAATCACAGGCACCACGATAGATTCTCGTGCAATTCTAAAAGATATCGGATTGCGCAAACTAACTACTAAGTCCCTTACTCAGAACGCCGCTTCCCAGAAGCCGAACCTTTGCAATGCATACTAAGCCCACACAAATAGTGTCGTTAAATAAAGGCGTTGAATCTATAGCACGTATAGAGAGTGGGATAACGCGTCTGACGCCTCCCAACAAGGAAACAGACCCCTGGGTATCCATATTCTCTCCTGCCAGTCCTCCACTCACTCAATCATCTTCACTGCACCACCGGGTGAACAATCTAGGAAAGATGGAAGGCGCCTTGACCTTCGCGGATGGCTACGCTGAGCTTCTCCCGTAGGATATCGACGGTGCTGTAGTCGGGCATCTTGAGGTAGTTGACGCATGTCATGACGGAAGGGAGGTAATCATCGGATGAGTAGGGTGGCTCGCTGGGCTTGCAAACGACCGTGAACATTGGTGTGAGAGCCTTGAAGCCTGGAGATGTATTAGTAAACAGGGTTTGGTATACAGTGAACGATAAAACTTACCTCCAATTGGTAGCTTGGGGCTGCCGGTGATGAACTGCAAGAAGTCCCTACGCTCCTGCGCATCGAACTCGCTCATGGTGGCAAGCAAGTTGCGTACGCTCTTGCTGTCGAGATTGTAGCCGTGGTCTGCTTTGATGGAATCCATAAGAGCTGTGACGTGGTTAGTAACGGTACTGAAGTGGTGGATGTTTTAAACTTACTCTCAAGCGACCAATCCTCATCGGTCCGACCGAATAACATGACCAACTCATCTGGGGTAAATGCCTTAAGAGCAGAGTATGGGAAGACCTCTGTGAAGCCGGCACGGAAGGCATCTGCCTGACGCTGGACACCAGAGCCAAGGGTGAAGTCGATGACCTTCTCTACATACGTGTCGACGTTCTCAATCGTAACGGACGTATCCGCACCGTTCGGAATAAGCTCGATCGAACCATAACCAGGAAGTGTGAAGTCGAGAGCTAGGTCTTCCACCCGGCAATCCTGGATGACAATGTCGTTCAGGGCCGCCGCTTTTGCGGCTGCGCTCAGATTGTCATCGTCAACCTTCTTCTTTGCATCGGCAAATTGCTTGAGCAGAACCAATGACTTGGCCAGGTCTTCATCGACAGCCTTGATTGCTCCAAGAGATGGTGCCACTGCTGCGCTGGAACCGTCACTGATGCGGAAGAAGGTTGGGTTGAAGGACACGTCGATAATGCGAGAGTCCAGCATAGAGCGAGCGACGAATTTGCCCAGAATCTTGAACAGCTCGAGACGCTTCTCTCCATTCTCAGTGCTTGCTTCTTCGGTGCTCATGGGAGCGGGGTACAGTCCTCGCTTGCCGAAAGCATATTCGTCCTGATCGCTGGACTCATTCTCTCGCCAAAGCTTCAGCTTCTTCTTTGAGAACTCGCGAGATACGGTGGAGTAGAATTCCAACGTCGGTCCCAAACCAGTTCCAACTTCCTCAAAGTACTCGACCTCCAGGACACTAGCCGAATGACCATACAGTTGCATGACTTTCATGGCGGACTCCAAGATTCGGGACCTAGAAATGCGAACTTTCTGGCGTTGAAGTCTACCTAAGAACGGCCGCTCATCCCTATGACGGCTGTCCCGTGAGTCGCTTGTGGGCTGCGAGTTCTGCCATCGCGTCATCGACCTAGAGTAGCCGAACGAGGTAGACTGTAGGAAGAGGTGGCGTGTCTCGAACGGGAAAAGGAATGGATAGAACCGAGCGAGATCCTCGCTCCAACTAGGAAGGCAGTTGCTAGCTACAACGAGAGGCTCTTCTAACTGACGGTTGAGTTTGGCTGTGAGCTTCGTGTTCACGAATTGCGAAAGCGGCTCAGCATTCAGTTTGACCTGTTCCTTATTCGCCAGTAGGATGTCGTCAAGGTGCGAGTTCAGCCCGTGAAGTATGCTGAGTAATCGCAAAATACCAGATGTCACAGGGTGTTGATCAAGTGAGGCTGGCATACCCGAAACGTCCGAACGCGACTCTGGCGGTGGTGTCAAGGAGCTAGGCTCGCTTGGTGGAGGGCCCTGCACCCGCTTGAACTTGATAGTATGAATACCGTTCCAAACCGAGCGATGTGATCCATCCGCTGGTTGCGCCTGGCTAAAGTGCACAGCGCGGTAGATTGTTGTCTCATTTGAGAGCGGCTGGTCGTTCACGCTGAATTCGATATGCCAGTCTTGAGGGGTCGATTGTACAGCGCCAGCATATGACAGAGCGCCCGCCCCACCTAGAGTCTGACGCATGGCAGCCGAGCTCTGTAATAAGGCAGATAGACGTGACGTTGGAGTTCGGTTTTCGGAAGGTGGCTTTGCCAGCGGTGTGTTTTGTACGGGTGTAGCAATCCGCGTGCCGTCCTCCTCACGAGCCGTGGCTTGCCCTGTCGATGCGACTTCGACACTGACAGCCGATGGATCTGGCATATCCTCATCCAGCTCATCCTCAAGATCATCGACGATGGCATTCAAGGCGCTCTCGTCATCCATGGAATCTTGGTCGGAGAGCTGCGCCTCGTCAGCACATTCAACTTGATTTTGGCTGCTGTTCGAGTGAGGCTTGGCTGGAGGTGGTGGCGGGGGTGGAGGAAGCTGCGCCTGTTGACGCCTACTCGATCGACGAGACTTCTCTCGTGTGGCGGAGCTCGGTCCTGGCTGGGATGCGTCGGTCGGGGCTGCCTTGGATCGCGAAGACTTCTTTGAAGCCCGGTGTGACGAATCTGAAGGGGTGTGGGGTGGTGGCGGCGCGCGTCCTTCCGAAACAGCTTGAGCATACATGGCCTCAAATTGATCCCGAGATGGGAACTGGTCGCGAATCTTAGCCGGGCGTGGCCTATCTGCCAGGCTGATGCGGGGTCGAAGGTAGTCGTCCAGGGCTTTGAATGTAGCAATGGCGTGAATAGACACCATGATATTGCGGTACGTCTTAGGAATTCCTGAATCGTCATCGGCGACAAGCTTCAGCCTCAATTGCTTAGCCAGCATGGAAGTTGCGCTTCCTCGGCTGTCGTACATATTTTGATGAACAGTAATCACGTCGAAGTGTTCAGACCTGCTCAGCAGATCTTGCAGCTTATGGACCAATACGATGAAAGGCGTAGCTGGAGACGCAGTGCTCGCGGTCTTGATCTTGCTCTGGCCGCTACCTCCCATGAAGGCTTCCAAGAAGATAGGCCTAGGGTCGACCTTCTTGTCAGACGTAGACATCGAGAACAGCTCCAAGAGCACTTCCACAATCTTCGATGTCTTGAGCTCGTAGCTTGTGATGCTTTCCAACGCATCGCCTTCGAAGTAAGATGCCAGTCTAGTGAACAAGCTCATACAGTCCCTTGTGGCACCATCAGCAACGCACGTCTTAATTTCACCAGCAAGCGATTTCAAGTCCTCCAGGACCGCAGACGCCTTTTCGCGTATAGGATTATTAGATTCCTTCTCGTGAACGTCGATGAACTTCTTAGCACGGAGCGTGATGATGTCTTCGACGTCGGGCATCGGTAGTGGCTCCCGCTGGTCAGAGGACGACGAAGAATCCGACTCATCGTCCTCGTCTCGGTTCTGGCTGCTTTCATTTGGTTCATCGTCAGGATCCACGTCCTCGCCATCGTCGGACTGCATTTCCACGTCGACACCGTCGCTCGACTGGGCAGGTTCCCGCTCAGCGTCTTGTTCGGCAGTAGAGACGGTGCTAGCACCTGAGTCAGCTGCAGCCTCTGTCTCTACTGCTGACTTGGGATCCTTGGCCTTGGTTTCCAAAGATTTGCAGGGACGGTTCGCCAACTGTGAGATCTCGGATATGACACCTTCGCGATAGAATTGGTACCGGTAGATGGGCTCCAGCCGCTTAAGCAATAGCTCGGCAGCCTGTAACGCGTATGTGACCAAAGATGGGTGGTCCTGCTGCGTAAAGATCGATGCTAGATGCGAAGCATAGGGTACTGGCCGTAGAGCTTCCTCTAGGATATCGGTGTCCAGATTTGACAACATCTTGAGATGAGCGGTAAGCACTTTCTGGCGTACGCTGAGGTTGACAGTACTTGAGTAAGCGTCTGTCAGAGTAGGCAGAAGGATCACGGCGAAGCGCTTAACCTCTGCCTTGCAATCTTCCAACAGCTCGACGCGTTTCTCATTGGTGGTCTTCTTGTTAGTGGAAGAGAGTGGAAGAAGGTCGTCGCCTGGGTAGCCGGCATCGAAGAGATCGTCAAGGTACATCAGGCCCTCGGTCGGGACATCGGGCAGCAGTTCGCAGATAACATTCAACGTCTCGAACACCTGATCTTTGGGCCGGTGAATCAAGGCTTGCATGATGACGACAGAGTCAATTTTAGCTGCGACGTCCTCAGTGCCACTAGGAGGTGAAACACCAGTTAGGATCTGGTACAGAGTATCGACCACGTTCATCTTCAACAGCTCAGCTGATAGACGCGGGCTTGCCTTGGCGGTGTACGCCAGAACCTGCAGGAACATAGTGTGGATGCTAGGTCCAATGAGATTGGTGCTGCCCGGGAGCAGAAGTCGCAGGATAGCTTTGAGAAGACCTGGGCTGACCAGCTCCTCCAGCTTGCTCTCCTGTTGCCGGAAGCTCTGGACGATCCTAGAGACACAGATGCAGCCCTGCTCTACAACCTTTTGATCGTTGTTGTTCAGAATATTCTCAAGGATAGGCATAACATCGCGCACGACCGGGAAGGAATCCTCTGGGATGTTCCGACAGCAGTTGGCTGCGGTTGTGACGGCTACACGCTGTGTGCTTGTGGCGAAGAAGTCGAGGAAGGTCAAGCACGCTGTAAGACCGCCTTCCCGTACAATAACTCCCGGAAACTCAACTGAAATCTTTTCCAGCGTGCTCAGACACTGTTCGGCCAGATCGATGAAGTTGATCTCGAGCAGCTTGGAGCAAAGGACGGGCACGGCTCCACCGTAAACGACATTGGCGGTGGCTTGAGGCAGGGCTTCCATCAGGTTGGCCAAGCATCGGCAGGCGAGCAACATAAGCTCCGGGTTCTCTTCCATTGTGAACTCGTTCGGCTGCATGAGCTTGACCAGTTCCTTGACGTAGGCATCGGGGGAAAAGTGGCCGGCCAGGTTGTCTTCCGTGGAGATGAGGAGCACTTCGGACAGCTCTTGCAGCGCAATCAGCTGTATAGACATGTCTGGCGATCGCAGCTGGTCCAGAATGCCCCGCAGACGCTGTGTGGTACCTGCCATCATGCCGGTGAGCTGCCTCAGCGCGGACAGGCTGTGTGAGTTGCGTCCCAGGAAGCCGCTGGTGAAGGGATCGTCGTCATCGTCGTCGTCTTCCTCATCGTATCGCTCTCCGTGATCGTCGCCGTTCTCGTCATCGCTGGTATGGTCTTCGCCAGACTGGCGCGTTTCCTCTTCGGGCTTGTTTACAGGAGCATCGTCCATGGTCGTGTCGTCCTCGGCCTTGTTCGATTTGCGCGAGCTTCGGCGGGACGTGGAGGGGCTATCGGCGTCGGGCGCGGCGTTTGAGGGCTTGGTCTTGCGGCCGCTCTTGGATCGCTTCGAGGGCTGTGGCGTCGACTTCTCGTCGATAGGATCTGATGGTGGGCTGTCTTCGGTCAGCGCTTGCTCGCCGGCTGGGGCAATTGGCACAGACCCAGACGAAGACATGGCGGCTTTGCCTTTGGCCTTCTTGGTCTTGGTAGCGCGGCGTTTGGGAGTAGACTCTGGGTTGTCTGCTGGGTCGGGGCTGGGGTCGCGCGCTGACGTCTTCCGCTTGCGGGACGCTGGGGCGGGCGGCGGTTGCGTTGCGGTCGGGGGAGCAGCGGGCGGCGAGGTGTCGTTGGTGTTGGCGGATTGGCGCCTTTGCGAGCGAGTGACTCTGGACGACATGAGATTCTGACTACAGGCTTGTGAAATCGAGATGCGCGCAGACTGTGGCCCCGGTGGGTGCAGCACTTCTGTGGGGGCAGAGCAGAGTGAGACTTGGTTGAGGACCGCAGCAGCGTGTGGTGTTGAACCGCGGGGTGCAGAGTGCTGCAGCAGCCAAGGGTCGGGTGGGAAGGTATTTACCTTTCACGAGGTCCTCTGGAGGCCATCAAGGACGCGCCATTAGGCGTGTGCTCAAGCGAGTGCGGTAGGTGCAAACACACGGGGATCGGTAGCGGCGGCGAGTGTGGCGGGTCTCAGCAAACAGAGCAAACGAGAGAGCTGCTCTGGCCGTGCGATGGGTAATAGAAAGAGATGGTAATACTGTCCTGGCGCTGGCGAATACTGGACGTCGATATCCACCTGCATGCCAGAGGGAGCTAATTACGTGACCTGCCTAGCGCCTCTGTTGTTATCGATAGAGCGAGTCGCAGTTGCCGCTTCCGACCTGCTGGCCCGCGCCTGCCAGAAGCACCGCAGAATAGTGAGGTGAGGTCACCGAGGCGATGAGTTGGCACTCTCTCTTCCTATGTTCGATAACTGCGGTGAAAAATCTGTCAAGGTGAGGGAGCCTATCTGACCATTGAGGTATTCCATTCAGCCCGACTAGGCTGAGATGAGAGCATCGCGGCATGGCTTCAATTGGGGTGTCGAGGACTAACTACACAACGTCTTGTTCAACTCTCTACTAATATCTAGCAATCCAGGCCAGCTTCAAAGGGAACAGATCTAGCTCCTTCCTGCTATGCTAGCCGCAGCCCTCCGACGTCGCTCCCGCGGTTTCGCATCGAGCAATCAGGCCATTTCTAGCCATCTTTAGCGCCTTCTGTCACGGCCAGGGCTACTCAGTACCAAGACAAGCAATCCCTTCCTCTTCACAGCCAAGCACACGGATTGTTCAGCATATGGATCCCACGGCTCACGCCTAATTGCAAAACAGAGTTGGTACCTGTGGGGTCGGGGAAATGCCGACACACCCACGCGCACGTGAGCTGCCCACTTCTCTCTGCGCAGTTGCAGACTTCGCTTGCCATTTGGCGAGTCTTCGGATGCAAAAGGCGTCTCAAGTTTTGCGGCGCAGAGCGAGTGGCGCGCCGGAGTTATGGAGTTATGGCACCATGCACGGCGAGATGTGCGGTCGCAGGGCAGGCAAAATCGTGACCCTGGAAAGCCCCGCCGCCCGCGTTCCAGTGCCAAACGGCCGCCTAGAAGCAACCTTGAAAGTGTAAAAGGGCATGGTACAACATGTCCCCCTCTTCCACGGCCGGCTCACCCTGTGCATCTGCTTCCCTATATCCGTCTCACTCACAGTCCAACCATCCGCTTTGTCGCGCCCACTGCCTAAAACACTGTCCGTCGGGTATCGCCTCGCTGCCCCCGCGTCATAACCAGGCTCCTATCGACTCACTTCTCACTACCGCCTAGTCTCGTAGTAGTCTCCCGGTGACCCCGTTTATCGCGGTATTCGTAAGCCTTTCACTCATAAATGCTCCCCTTCCGCCGGCAATTGATTTGGTCCTTTAGTTTTGTCGCGCACATCCCAGCTGCGACCGCAACCCCACCTCGCCGTCACCTCCGCAACCCATCACTACATAGCCGCCCGCTCACCCCTCCGAAGTCATCCATCGCTATCCGCCCGCGCATCGCTCCACGCAAAATCGCCGTCGCTACCATGTCCTCGACGGATAACCGCGACATCCTGCTCGACGCCGGGCTCCCTAACACCGAGGCTATGTCGCTCGCCAACTACACATTTCCCAAGGAGAGATTGAAGAAGACGCTGTCAAACCCCAAGAAGCAGCCCCTCGTGCTCGTATCATGTGGTTCCTTCTCTCCGCCGACCAATCTACACTTGCGCATGTTTGAAGAGGCGGCCGACTATTGCGAGTTCGAGACCGACTATGAAGTTGTTGGCGGCTTCTTCAGCCCTGTCGGCGACGCATACAAGAAAGCCGGACTGGCTTCCGCACAGCACAGGATCAACATGACGAGGATCGCCGTACAGGACAGCTCGACTTGGATCGGTGTTGACCCGTGGGAGCCGCTGCACAAGGAGTATCTTCCAACTGTCAAGGTGCTCGACCACTTTGACCACGAGCTTAACGAGGTTATGGGAGGAATAGCGAGCGAGAATGGCGAAAAGCGACGCATTCATGTGGCGCTCCTCGCAGGCGCCGACCTTATCCAGACGATGAGCACGCCCGGCCTCTGGGCTCGCGAGGATTTGAGCAGGATCTTGGGTCACTACGGTGCTTTTATCCTCGAGCGCAGTGGTACTGATATTGGTACGTTCCTCTACACACGAACCCTACAACCGCTAACATGCTACAGACGATGCGCTCGTACAGCTCCAGCAGTGGAGAGAGAACATTCGCGTGATCCCGCAACTCATCCAGAACGACGTCTCGTCCACCAAGATCCGGCTCTTCCGCAAGCGGGGTAAGAGCATCCGCTACTACATCCCCGACAAGGTCGTCGACTACATCTACGAACACGGCCTCTACAGCGACGACGAGAAGAAAGTGGCAGACAAGGGGAAAGAGGGAGCATCTTCCGAAGCTACTGAGTCCTCACAAAGTGTTTCGGCTTCTTGAATAACCTTACCCACGAAACTGCTATGAAGCCTTCACATTTCGAGAATTGCATGTACCACTACTTCCGACAGGACTGCCACGCCGCATGCTGCAAGGAATGCACGTTCGTCATCCCTGGGTGGCAAACTGAATTGGCGTTGTAGAGCGGTACTCTCATTAAATCGTCACGATCACCCAAAACCGGCTTATTAGAGAGGCACGGGTGGGCCTTCACAGGCATGGTTGGCTGAAAAGGGTAAAGGGTCAGGACGAGCCCTATGACCATTGGCGCATTGTTTTTGTATATTTCCAGCTATGATACCACACGCAGATGCAACAATGCACGATAATCTTTACGAATTGCACCAAGTAACGGAGCGTGGAGGTCCAAGCCTCCAAGGGCAGGCTTGCTCATCATTACAGGGGCTATGATGTCATCCGCGGAAGCGAGTTGGCGGCACATCTTCCTTCCCTGCCGTTGTTGATCTCAGGGCGCAGGGACTCAACGGTCTCGTCGAGATTGGGTAATCTGTGATGACGCGATGGCATTCTCAAGGAAGTTCTGGGTGGTATGTGACATGCCATTGTACTCTAGAGGTTGTATTGTGCACTCTGTTTGTGTTTGTGACACAGCCACCAAGGCATACGCAGCTTTGCGTTACCAAGTACTCCAAGTGTGAGCTGAGAACTTGGTCGTCTGTGATACCCGCCTTGTCAAATATCAATAGCCTTCACACAGGACCGATTCCGCGTCCTGTGTCCAAGTTTGTCGCAGTTCCAAGATGGCCATCCAAGCGGCTTGTGGCGCCCAGCGCTCGGCCACGTCAGGCCAGGCCATCAACACCTCATCACCCCAGCAACGACACGGCATCCCAGCAAGCCCAACCTCGTGCATGTGCCCAGCCGCCGATTATACATATTCGCTACCGATATTCACATGCGCCCGGGTGGTGGCAGACACGACTGAACGCATTTTTGTTATTTGCGTGCTTTTGCAGCTATCTTGTGAAGTGCATCCCAGCCCCACGTTTCTACACCGCGCTTTCGCTTGAAGCACGTATACTTATCACGACCACCCGATCTTTTCGATGAGCGACCGCGAGCGCAATGCGTCGCGAAGACGACCGCAGGGCGACGAACGAAGACGGCGCAGAGAATCACATGGCGACGTAGATCCTGAGCGACGGCGGAGGAGAGAATCCCGCGGTGAGGATGCAGTCTACGATCGGGAAGGAAGACGGCGAAAAGGACACAGGGCGACAGACTCTTCAGGCGACCTACTGCCAAAGCCGCCCCGGCGATCGAGACACCAAAGCGACACTGAGCAGGAATCCCCGGCGCCACGCAAAGCTCGGGGATCGCGGCGCAATTCTACGACAGATGGAAGTGGGAGGGGAAGTCGAGGCTCAGCTCCTCTGAGTCTCGATGCGCTAGCGAAGCTTGACAAGACCAATGCGAAGAAGGCTGGGGGCTGGGGGGCCTACGACTACGACGATGAATACCTGAAAGAGGTCAGGAAGAAGGAGAAAGACCTGGAGAAGGACCGGATAAAGCATGAGCGAGCGGAGAAGAGAAAAGAGCAGCAAGAGGAGGAAGCCAGACGACGCGCTGCAGAGAGCGATGCCGCATTGCTTGAGGAGAAAGCTAGGAAACGGCGAGAGGAGAAACGGAAGGCTGCTGCGTTGAAGCAAAGTCAGACTGACGATGAGCTTGAGAGGAAAAGAGGCGCATACACGGACGATGAACGGGAGGAACGAAGACGCAGACACGAGTCCAAATACACACCGTCAGAAGCCGACGAGCGGAGAGAACGAAGACGGCAAGAGAAGCAACACCGCACAGAACAGAAGAAGCGGCGCGTGATCAGCGGACCCCTGGCCGAAGAGGGTGGCATCGACGACGATTCCGAATATCGGTTCATGATGGAGAAGCGCGGAGGTGCAGGCAGTGGTCCACCAACCGTGTACACAGAAGAGGAGCTGGCACGAAAGAAGAAGAAAAAGCGCATAATATTCGCCATAGTCTGCGTTGTGATCATCCTGGCTATCGTCATACCTGTCGCTGCATTGCACTCGAGCAGAGGCAAGGATGACGAAAGCTCAGGGAGCGGATCCGCCGCCGCCTCATCGGGGCCAAAGAACGACAATCTGGCCGGGAAGGACCGAAACAGCGTACCAGAAGCGGACCGAGGTGGCATATTGGACCCATGGGCATGGTACGATACCGATGACTTCAATGTTACCTACACCAACAAACTCGTCGGAGGCCTCCCGGTCATCGGTCTCAACGACTCCTGGGACGATGATGTTCAAGCAAATCCTTCCGTTCCTAAACTCTCAGACTCGTTTGAGTATGGCAAGACACCTATCCGTGGTGTGAACGTCGGTGGCTGGCTCAACCTCGAGCCTTTCATTACGCCGTCTTACTTCTCTCAATATGGGTCCAAAGACAACGTGGTCGACGAATGGACGTTCTTGAGCAAGCTCGGACCTGCAAAGGCAAAAGACACTATGGAGAAGCACTACTCTACATTCATCAACAAGAAGACTTTCCAGGAGATCAGGGAGGCTGGTATGGATCACGTCCGCTTCCCATTCGGCTACTGGATCGTGGAGACATACGACGACGACGTTTACGTACCGCAAGTAGCATGGCGCTACCTTCTCCGCGGTATTGAGTACTGTCGACAAAACGGGCTCCGCGTCAACCTTGATCTTCACGGCGCACCAGGTAGTCAAAACGGCTGGAACCACTCTGGTCGTCAAGGCCAAATCAACTGGCTGAACGGCACAGACGGCGACAAGAACGGCCAACGCACCCTAGACGTCCACCACAAGCTCTCCGTCTTCTTCGCCCAAGATCGCTACAAGAACGTAGTCACCATGTACGGTCTCGTCAACGAACCCCGCAATGTTGAGCTCGACACCGAAAAAGTAGTCGCCTGGACACAGAAAGCCATCGACCAAATCCGCGCCGACGGCATCGAAGGCATCATCGTCTTCGGCGACGGCTTCATGGGCCTCGACAACTGGCAAGGCAAGCTGCAAGGCAACGACAACCTACTCCTCGACGTGCATCAATACGTCATCTTCAACACGGACCAAATCAAGCTCGAGCACCGCGACAAGCTCAACTTCGCCTGCGAAGCCTGGACCCAACAAAGCAAGCGCTCCATGGACAAGAAAACCGGTTTCGGTCCTACCATGTGCGGAGAATGGTCCCAGGCCGACACCGATTGCACGCAATACATCAACAACGTCAACACAGGCACACGCTGGGAAGGCACATTACAGGCGCAAGACGGTAAATCCGGCGCTGTCCTCAAGCCGCAGTGTCCGCTGGAATCGTCGCAGTGCTCTTGCGACCAGGCCAATGCCGACCCGAAGAATTACAGCGATCAGTACAAGAAGTGGCTGTACCAGTTTGCGATTGGCCAAATGGATGCGTTTGAAGCTGGTTGGGGCTGGTTTTACTGGACGTGGGAGACGGAGAGCAGCACGCAGTGGAGTTATAGGCGGGGGCGCGAGGCGGGGATTCTGCCCGATAAGGCGTATGAGCGCGATTGGAGTTGTCCTGGTAATGGAGTTGAGGGGCTGGATCAGTTTGAGGGGCTGGCGGAGAATTATAGGAGGATGTAGATGGGGATGGTGAGAGGGGGTGGATGTTGTGTCGGGGCTTCGGCCTGCTTCTTTCATTGAGCATACGTGTAATGAGGGTGTTCGGGTGGGAAGGTGGGGTTATGAAAATGATTTTTGTTGTCGTACATAGCATGGTCTTGTGCATTTTCTGGCGTTGAATATGGTTATTCAGTTCAGTACATAGAATTCGGTGCGAACCATTATCAAATCATGTATCCATCCATCGCGTTCAACTTGTTCTGTTCGAGACCATTAGACAGTACATAAGCGTCACCGGCTTCAATTATGTAGTTGTCAAAGTTCCAACATACAAAATGACCACTGATTCAGCGAGGCTGACAATGACTCCAGGCCCCCCACATCTCATCTCGTCTCGTCTCACCCACGACGATCAGAGCGTTCAAGGCCCCCTATAACCTAACGACTCATTGCCCCGGCACGCGGCTGTGCCGCACAACTCACACAACGATGAGTCGGACAACGAAATTATCATCAATTCGGTGCTCATTTGCACATTCCAATTTACGAACGGAAACGCAGCACGCACTCGGCCACGTCACGCCTGAACGATGCGTACCTTGGACTATTGCGATTGGCAGGAGAGGTTGCGCACGTCGCTATTTTAAGGCGGTGCGGGTGGAGAGTGGGAGGAGTGCCATCCTGGCGGGGGATCATGAAGAGGGTGAGGCCACCAAGGCGGTGTCGTGAGGAGGCGGCTGTGTAGGCGGTGCTTTCGGCGAGGTGATGGGTGTTTATATGGTGGATTGCGACTTCCTCTATTGTGAGCCTGTTATTTCAGTTCCTTCTTTTCGTAGCGACCATATCAGAAGACAACCTCAATACACACCGACAGCATAACCTCGTCCCATCCCATCCCACCCAGATATCCTCACCACAACCACGCCACACCACACGCACCATGTCACCCACCTCCCTCCACACCCGAGACACCAACTCCTCCATCTTCCAGAACCCAGGCGAAAAACGCGGTTTCATCGTCGTCATCATTCTCTCCGTCCTCGCTACCGTCGGCATGTTCTGCCTCATCATCACGCTCGTCATCTGCAAGAACAAGCGCGACCGGAAGAAGAGAGCGGCCAAGATGGATGCGGAGAAGAGTTTGAATTTTCTGCCGGGCAGGAAGGGGAGGTATCGCAAGTTGGAGGATGAGGATGAGGGCGAGGTGTGGAGTGTGGAGATGGATGATCGGAGGCCGACGGCTTATCAGGGGAGGTATAGTGAGGTATGTTGATCTGGTAGGGAGGGAAGGGGTGTAAGGGCTGGCTAATGGGGGAATAGGTCGATTTGCCGCATCCGGAGAGTGCTTACAGATGATCTTATCACGTCTTGCTGGTGCTCAGATGACTGTGGTGTCTGTTGTACTTCCTGAGCTGGTCATCTGGGCGGCAGGCATGTGTAGAACGATTTTCGATATTGGAACACTCTTTACCACTCGCCATCAGTCGCCTCCCCTTCAAATTCCTGTAGTTTTTCGGCACGGTATCAACCCCTACTCCTGCTACCAGCACTACGACCAGCGGCCTACTGCCAACGACGGTATCTAAACACCCGGTATTCCTAGCCTCCATCTCAGTCATGTCTTCGCATCGCCAAGGACAGGGTAACATTCAACGCCTGGAGGAGGAACTGGAGAAGATGGAACTCTCACGCCCACTAGGAACAGAGCAGCACAGGGAAGACGATCGTCCGAAAGCACCACTGGACAAAACATCGATGTCGCAGACTCCAGAAGAGCGCAAATCTACTGAGGACGATCCAAAGGATGAGGTTGTATGTACAGCGGAAGTAGACTCATGCTCAACTCCCAACCTCAAACGCCCCATCCCGTCCACTGCAACCGAGGAAATCTTCAGCCCTTTCCCATCAACAGTCTGGGTCATCACTCAGACAAGAGTGGTTTTCACTACTCTCCGCACTCTCTGCCTCTGCACCTCGTTTTCCACTTCCAAAGCAGTGCTGTACCGCCTCAGAGACGAATTCTCTTCACGGCCTTCTCTCAATGTTTCAGAGCGGACGAAGCGTGCGTTAAGGGAGTATTACGTGGTACACGACCATAGTGATAGCGAGGAAGAGGAGAACGGTATCGGCTTTGACGTACTGATGGATGAGACTGAGGGTGTGCTCTATCATGTTAATACTAGCAGGGCGAAAGGGAACAAGTGGCAGGGAAAAATAACAGATGGGAAGGTTTTCGGAGACGGTTTCACGGAGGTGACTGTGGAGAATGTTCGGCGGGTACTGAGGGGGTGGAAGTAAGGATGGCGGAGTTGTACGACAAGCAAGCGCGGGAAATCCGTACGACAAGTAATAAATTCTCAAATCGATATTCATAGTATTCTTGTCTCCATTCTCTTCTTTGTTTCAACCCTCCTTCCCATCAACAAGCCTACTGCCCATCCCTCTCAGCAAGCATCTCCTCAATATGCTTATTCAACCAATACCTGCCCAGAACCTCCTTGCTCATATCCCTCGCGCCCTTAATCTCACCCGCACACGCCTCCGTCTTACACAAGCACTCAAAAGGCTGAGCCATACTCCACTCGGTACTCGGATAAAAGAACGTGAGCTCATCCCCCTCCTTAAGCCCCTCTCCCTGTTCAGAAACCCTCACTTCCCAGCGCTGCATGTCAAACACTAGGCTGGGCTTGCAGCTGTGGTTTATATAGACGAGGTCGCAGTTCAGCTCGATGTGTAGGTCGCGCGAGGCTTGGACGGAGGAGTAGGCTACGGTTGCTGGTGTGGGGTTTGTGATGCGTGCGAAGACTGCGCCGGGGGGCAGGTTGACGAGGGAGACGGAGCGCGAGGTGAAGGAGCCGGGGTTGTGCTCTACGCGGAGGAGACGGGCGAGGTCGGGTTGGACCCATGCGGGGATTTGAGCGGTGGCCGTCGAAGAAGGGGTGATGACGGGTTTGGTAGATGATTTCCCGTTTGTGTGGGGGGTTGTGCTGGGAGGGGTCGAGGTTACTGCTGCGGGAGACATGACGGGTGAGCTGGATTCGAGGTTCGGAATGACGGATCTGTGTGTATGAGGTGAGGATGTTAGGTCACTGCTTGCTTTTGCAGTCAGTCAGTCAATAAAAGGTCTCTCGTTGGTCTTTAGTATTGTTTCCCCTTCGAATCAGAGTGCCCGGACGATGGGCTCAACTACACGCATTCAGGCTTACTAGGGTCCACATGAAGACGCAGTCTCTTCCTTCGTGTGGGGATACCACGGCTTGTTCCACTCTCAGGCCATCTGGTTCCATATTACCGAAGAGGCTCGGTATGTCTTTGCCTAGGTGTCTAAGCCTGCTTTGGTTGAACAGTGATCCGAGGTACCTGGGCAATGTGCCCAATTGCACGTGAGATGGGCTCGTCCATGTATCCGTTGTATAATGGTATTACGCGCGATGCCCAGTTTAAGGCGGCACAGGGAGGATCAAGTGGGCTGGGATATGGTATATCTGTCGTCTGTCGTGCATGGTGGGGAGCTGCTAGTGACGTGGGTTGTAATAGTTTCCAGGTTCTCCGGCTTTGCAGATAGCCTCGGTAGTGTGAGAATACGCTAGGCCGGAAGGTTCTAGCGTGTAGTCCTAGCACGTGCTTGCACTTACGGTTCTGGAGCTCTGGAGCTGTCCCGTTCTTGAGTGTGCATACAGATTGTTGGCAAAGGACGGTAGTGATCTTGAGATGGTGGTTTGTAGCGAGTTGTGTTCGGATGAAAATAGATCCCTACTGCCTAAAACTGGCGTCGTTATCGACTGTCTCCTCTTCACGCCGAACCTACCTTATTTCCCATATGTCTGCTCAACTGGCACAACGCCGTTGTCGTCGCTCTCAGTACTCGTTGCGTCTGCACTCTTCAAGCCCATGCTGCTAGTATCATATCCATTCGCTGTCAGGTACTCCCTGAACCGTATATCCTCCTGGTCGATTGTGTCCTGGCCGATATGAGGAAGGAGCAATACCAGTCCAGCAGCGACGAAGGCAAGAGTGGAAGCCACGAAGAAGGGATTACGACCCGCAGCGATTTCATCATCGCCTGCAGCTTTCTGAAGTGCGTCCAGAGCGTAAGAGCCGGCAAAGGCACCGATCTTGCCCACGGCCGCGGCGATGCCGTAATACTGTCCTCTGTCTAAAAGTTAGAAACTGGAGCTTTAGGAATGCGATAAAGTGACATACCGTATACCCGTTGCGCACGTCTTGGAAGCAACCAGACCAATGTTATCGCCTGGTCCAAACTCGCCCAGCGCAAGGAAAACACCATACACCACGACGAAGCCGGCAACGTTCTCAGGCTTGTTCAACCAAGGATAGCATCCAGCCATGATGAAGCCGATGATACCTTGTAACGTCACTCCGATGAACAGCGTCTTCTTAGGGCCCATAGAGGGCAGATCCGCGACAAAAGCACCAGCAAGGCAACCAGGCATGTAGAAGAAATTGATGAGGATGTTCCATGCCAGACTCTTCCACAGTGGTGCCGACTCTCCTAGCAGATTGGCCAAGATGGACGTGGCGTAGATTCCGAATGAGTACGCGCTGAAGTCGTAGATGAACCAGATGATGCTGACGATACTGAGGCGGAACCAGTAGTACTTGATGATAAGTAGCCATGGCGTCTTCGCCTTGGCCAGCGACTCGCGCTTGAACGCCTCAGGCTCTTGTAGCTTCAATCGGAGGTATAGCAGCGAAAGAGGTGGGATGATTCCGATGCCCAGGCAGATACGCCAAGCGGCTCGTAGATGGTCTTCGCCCGTAGCGAGGACAACGACGGTCGCGACGATGGCGCTGATGAAAAATGCTAGGTCAATCTGCACGTTCGTAAAGAGGATGAACCACTTGTTTCGAGTGCCTTGCTTGAGTTCGCCGGTGGATTCTGCGCAGCCGACGCTGCCTGCTGGATACTCTCCGCCAATACCTGTTGCAAATCAGTATGTTTGTCGGGAAGATATAAATGCATTCCGGCGTACCTATTCCGAGGAAGAAACGGTATACAACGAGCGCCGTCAACAGTCCACTTGGACTACCTCCAGCTCCGTATGACGCTGTACCCAAGATGGCGAATAGGATGATGATGATGGTTGAGGTGAACAACGACCACTTTCGCGAAAAGTGATCTGATGTATACCCGAAGAACAGCATGCCGACGACCGTGCCTGCAAAAGTAATACTCGAGACGTTTGCTTGAGCGGACGAATTCGCATACGAGTCTGGGTAGATTGTCTTGAGCATCGTATTGACTGGACCGATTATCTAAGAATTCCTGTATCAGCATTTGCATCCTCGTAATTCAAATCTCGACTCGGATATTTTGGTGGCGCTTTGGGATGGGGAATGTTGGTGTCGCATAGGGAATTGTCTGGGTGTCGCTTCTTGGAGTCGTGTTCTGCGTACATTATTGAGGTAGCCATCGCTGAAAAGACCCGCGCCGCATGCGATAACGGGCCATAGTCTTTCCCACCTTCCTTTCTCTGTCTTGGCGACGCTGCCTCTACGTTCGATGTCGCCTTTTGCGTCAGTCGCATTGTACAGGCCTGGTTGTGTTTCCGCAGCGGAAGCCATTGTAGTGTCGCGTGGGGCTTAACCAGAATGCGAATGCGATCAAGCAGGGTGTCGCGTCACGATTGCCAGCGTAGTAGGATAGCAAGAGCGTCGTTGGAGTAGAAGATAAGCTTTCGTAGGCGGAACGCTCAAACTTTAACGGCTCTCACTTGAGCTGGAGCTTGCTTGCAACCCTGGTACGGCTGTTGTGGCACTCACTGCAAAAGACCCTGTGATCACCCTCACTCGAACCCGCATCGGGTTTGGTGCTGTCCTGTCGCACTCATCAGACCACTCACAATGGAAGAAAGCTTTTCCCAATACTTGTGGCGTAGGATTTGGAGGCCCACGACGCGGCTGTTACTCCATAAAGCAGGTGCACATTTCCGCCGGGAATATCTGGGTACCGAGCAAGACAGCCGTTGGGGCTACAACTCTATCCAGGGTTACGCGTCCTTTGCTTTCTGGAATGCTGTGGCGTTCGGGATTAAGTTCTATTGCCGCTTAAAAGAATTAACGGTAATCAGCGGTTGTCAAACACAAAGTTGCTCGTCGATATTGAAGGGGAAGTTGCGTCCAGCCTCAAGCTTTGCCATGCTTTCTTCAGGCGTCCGAAGCCTCAGCGCGTCGCCCAAACAGGTTAGTAACACTGACGCCGCTGACGCCGCGCAGAGCTTGTCCTGCAGCTGCCGCGCGAAATGGCATGTGAGCACGCGATCTTAAGTACGACATTCGATCGGGACAGCAACCCGAGAGTTTACCTTAGCGTCGAAATCGAATGTGCAGTATCTTACCGCCCAAATGTGTTTGTATTCGACGAGCGAACTGCGCAGTAGATACACTCTCCATGTACCACATGCTGCTTCCCATTTGGCGATCAGAGTACCGTGGAAGTAAAGTTAAACTTTACGCAAGCGGGGCCACAGCCTTACATACTCTTCAACTCCTCGCCAATGTAGGTGACAAGGAATGATGGATGGTCGAGGTCCATTCCTTGGCGGACGACCCTCCCTTCGACCCAAAACTCCAACGCTCATACAACGGAGAAAGCGCGGCAAGCGGGGAGCAGGAAGAACACGAACAACAGCACCGTGCGCGATTCTATTGAGATCCAACACGGCATCTCTGCGGGGGAACCATCGGTGATTGAATCAGTACACAGTATCCATCGACTCCATCGTGTTTCCAGTTCGGACCGATAACCAACGTTGCGGCCCGCGGCGTCTTGGGAGTGTATAACAAGACCGAACGATCCACGTGAGCAAGTTGAACGAAGGTGCCCAATGTGTGAATCGTGAAAGAACGAATTAGATGACTACATTACTACATACTCATCTATTGTATGTGCTGCGTACAGGAAATAGATATGTTGCATATTGCATTGCTGCAGGGTATCACGCGAAAGACATTACCAAAGACATGTACTCAATCCTTCCCACCCCGTCTCCCCTTCAAACAAGCTGGCTTTTTACTTTTTATCCGTCGCCTTGAGGTGCTCGAACGGGATCGATGACTTCTCGACCGTTGTCGTCACTTGGCCGCGTGAATTCGCCCTGTCCATCTCCATGAACCAGTCGTCGCCTTCGCTCTGCGTCAGGCTTTTCGAGCTCCTGTTTTCGTTGCTCGGGATGCGGTATAGGTAGCGTGATGATTCTTGGCTGGGGCGGCCGGCGAGGTCCATGCCCATTGTTCGGCCTACGGATGAGGCGGTGCTTGGTTTTCGTCCTCCTCCA